GATTCCTGGGTTAGAGTGGCAGCCGTTTTGGTGAACTGGCTGGCAGGCAGCAGCAGGTGGGACAGGAAGCTGGCATGAGGTGGGGCCTCAGGTCACTTTACTGCAGAATCAGCCCTGCCCAGATACATCAATGCCACTAGAAAAACAGCAAGATCAGACCCGGTCCCTTCAGATGCTAATGTCAAGAGGTAATTTCTTTTGGATTAGTTACTCCATTGGGTCGGATTTTAGAATGCGAACACATTTCTCAATAAGCACAAGTAGGACCAAGTTAGACATTGTGCAACAGCTACAGCCGGCTTCCTAGTGATGCCTGTCATTGGCTCTGTTCGACAGGGCTGCTGTACGATCTTCCAGCTGCCGGTGGAGCTCAACTAGTGGTGCACATCCACCTGACCCCATGAAACTGCTTCTGTGTGATACAGAAAATGTGTCTGCTTTACAGGGCTTCGAGTGAACTGAAATCAACCAACTGCAAATTAACGAGAGCTCAAATTATAAGCAACGGGGATTGCAGTTTACACACTTGGGACTCCTGCAGTCTAATCCCACGGTCCCCAAAGCCCACTGAGGTCTTGGTGTAAGACCATTTGTAATAAATTTCCTAAATTAAAAGCCTTTCATTGGTTATTGTTAGTAGTACTCTAGCCCAGGAGCCTGCTTCTCATTGCCCAGACCCTTCCCAACAGATACAGAGTTAAACTTATATTACATAATGGGGGGGGGGGATGAAAAATCCTGAACACAAACTCTGTTTCTTGCAGTACTTTTGCTATGCCAAATGGGCAGTTGGAGAATAAGATGCACAACAAATGGGACAAGTTGAATTTTATCTTGGTAACAGGCTGCATAGCAACAGCAGAACACAAAGGGCTACCAGGAGGCAATGTGGTTAATCGCTACTGGGTCAAAGGAAACCCCCCCCCCATCTTTTAGCATATGAAATAGTGCGCAGAATAATTGCCTAGTAAAAGCAACACCAACCATGTGCAACACCTACCTAAGTAGGGTTTAGAGGGGCTTTTTGCACAGCAGAATCCCATTTAAATCTGGCCTTCTGACATTCACCGCCTTGGGTCCTGGCTTACGGCCCAGGATGTTCCTATGGAACATTAGTTTAATTGAATCTGTATGTTTTTGAGTTGCTGCAATAGGCAAGACCATTATCATCTTCACTATGGTTTTAATAATTCTGTCTATCAATCCCAGATGCTGCACAATGTTCCAAAAACATAACAATTCATTCCTTAAGAGCAACTATAATATAGAGGGGTCATAGTCTACCATCTGATGGTTTAAATTAAACACCATCCTAACATTCACTAAGTAAACACAAGTTTAACTCTAGATAACCAGTCTTCAGCACACCATGCATCAGTTTCCACCACATTCACATTTGCAAATGATGCCTGAAAAGATACTTGGTTCTATGGGACCTATGTGGCAAACAAACATGTAAGGGGGGAATTGAGTGAAATTGACCCCTCGTCCAGTCACACAGCTCCACTTTCAGAAGAGTGGCAATTTGAGCAGATTCCCATTCCTCCCTTCGGCTGCCCCACCACCACCATACTGCTTTTTGTCCAAGTGCCTCTTGTGATTCCAGGCAACATCTTTCCAGAGCTGAAAGAGGCCTTATGGGAAGAAAAAAACATGAGGGAAATCCCTGTATGCCATCAGAAAGACACAGCCTCTTAATTTGGGAACCCTCCTCCTTGCCCATAAGCTCAGGACACATTAAGAATAAAAGCGGGGCCACAGGGGCTGACGGCAAGCTGTAAGGACTCCCACCCCATAGAAGCTTGAGGAAGTATGGTGCATGGTGCTTGCCAAAAACATAATTTTGCTATAACAATGGAGTCCCAAACACCAAAAGGAGGCATGTCATAACCTTGGACCAAGAAAACCCTAACAAGGAGAAGCCAGTTGAAGAAGCCACTGCCCACCTCCCACTTTTAAAAGAATAAATGTTGAAGGAGATCCTCCACTATATTGGATTGTGTTGCCTGTCTAATCTTTCCCGCTCATTGCTATTTGACCTACAGCTGAAGATTTTATTTTAAAAGAGTTTATAAATAATTCATCATTACAGCAGTTTCAGAATTGAGCCGTCAAGACTATTTTGCACAGTGTAAGCCAAAGCAATGTAGTATGATCTTGTGTACTTTTTATAGGCTGGGTACTTGTAAAAGCAAGGTGATCAACATGCCCACCCTTCATTAGAAAGGAAGTGCAACAGCTCCAGTAATGAAGTACTACCCCAGTGGTAGTAATAATGACCAAAGACCAAGCTGAGGTCAACTTCAGCCACACTGGGTGACTGAAACCTCCACGCTTCAAGTGTTGTTTTGCAAGTCTGCTTATGGATTTCCTGAGAGGCATCCAGTGGCAACTCTGATACTACCAATTCAGGATTCTTCCTCCTTTTAAAAGAATGTATAGATTTGACTGGGAGGGAGCAAGGCGTTGCCACCAACACTAACTGAAAGATTCAGGACAAATATTTTATCAAGTACAATTGATGTACCAGCATTTATTTTGATAAAGTTCCTCATCAAAGGCTCCTAAGTAAGCTCAAAAATCATGGGATAAAAGGACAAGTTCTTTTATGGATCAAAAACTGGCTAATTAATAGAAAACAGAGAGTAAGTATAAATGGGCAGTTCTCTCAGTGGAGGTACCGCAGGGATCAGTACTTGGTCCACTGCTTTTTAACTTGTTCATTAATTATTTGGAGTTGGGAGTAAGCAGTGAAGTGGCTAAATTTGCGGATGATATGAAGTTGTTCAGGGTGGTGAAAACCAGTGATTGTGAGGCACTCCAAAGGGATCTGTCACAGATGGGCAAGTGGGCGACAACATGGCAAATGGGGTTCAATGTGGCCAAGTGCAAGGTGATGCACATTGGAGCCAAAAATCCTAAATATAAATACACGTTGATGGGGTCTGAACTGGCAGAGACTGATCAAGAGAGAGATCTTGGAGTGGTAGTAGATAACTCACTGAAAATGTCGAGACAGTGTGTGACTGCAATAAAGAAGGCCAATGCTATGCTGGGGATTATTAGGAAGGGTATTGAAAACAGATCAGCCAATATCATAATGCCCCTATATAAATCAATGATGCGACCTCATTTGGAATACTGTGTGCAGTTCTGGTCACAACACCTTAAAAAGGATATTATAGCTTTGGAAAAAGTGCAGAAAAGGGCAACTCGAATGATAAAATCGTTGGAACACTTTCCCTATGAGGAAAGGTTAAAGCACTTAGGGCTCTTTAGCTTGGAGAAACGACGACTGAGGGAGGACGTCCTTCTTCACCCAAAGAGTGATTAACACTTGGAATTCACTGCCACAGGAAGTGGTGGTGGCTACAAGCATGGACGGCTTCAAAAGGGAATTAGATAAGCATATGGAGCAGAGGTCCATCAGTGGCTATTAGCCACAAGGTATAGATAGGGACTCTGGGGCAAGTGATGCTCTGTCATCTTGGTGCGGGGGGGGTGTCAACAGTGGGAGGGCTTCTAATGTCCTGGCCCCACTGGTGGACCTCCTGATGGCACTGGTATTTCTGGCCACTGTGTGATACAGTGTTGGACTGGATGGGCCTTTGGCCTGATCCAACATTGGCATCTCTTATCTCTTATGTTCTTAGCCACCTACCTAAATATTAATTTGGATTCAAGAGACTATAAACTCCCCCCTCAAAAATAACTACTGTTAAAGAGTTTCCCTCTTTAAAAGCTTAACATTTTGAATACAAGCCAACCCTGTGTGAATCCACAAGGTACAGCTGATTCAGTCAATGCAAATAAGCAACTGGCAACATAAACTTCTGTGAATTAGAGGAAGAATGATTCACAGGAACATTTTGCTATCAAGCCATATAAGGTCTGCCAGTTACATAATCTTTTATTTCCTACTCTTAACTGGGTCACAAGGTGTCCTTAGGTTGTATTAGCTTCTATGAGTTACCTCTCAACAGCTATGAACAATGTTCTGTATTCTATTCTCCCTTCAGTTTCTTATTGCCTGGTGTCTCATAACAATCCCCTCCCTTTTTAAAAAAAAATGAATAGGAGTTGAGTGCTGGCATAATGTAGCAGCTAGAGGTCTGGACTAGAATCAGGGAGGCCCATGAGCAAATCACCTTTCTGCCATGAAACTGGCTGACCTTGGCCCAGCCAATCTCTCTTCACTTCACCTACCTCACAAAGTGGCTGCAAGGATAAAATACAAGAGGTGGCCTGAGCTGCCTAGAGGAAGAGTGGAATGAAAATGTAATAAAGAAAATGATGCACTAGAAATTAATGTAGGGAATTAAAATGTGCCCCTTCCCAATATTCATAACAGATCCACAGTGTGGTATGTATATAGTGCAGCTACACATAGGCTTAAAGGGCAAAGTGTTTAGAAAACAAACCTAGAAATTACACAGTAGTCCACTTCACCCATCCACAGAAGCCTCTATCAAGGTGTCCACTCTGAGCAGAGCAAAGAGAGCAGAAAGATTTAGAGTTCCTCCTGGACAAGAGGTGTGTGTCAATCATCTGACCTGACCAAAATATTCTGCACAAGATTAGGCACAATGCACACAGCACTAGTTTGTGTGAACTCCTCGCCCAATTGTGTTGCTGCACTTATGCTGTTTGAGCACAAGATGGCACTAAATGCAGAAATAAGGATTCTGCAGTTCTAAAGTATGTTGTTGTTGTTGTTCAGTCGCACAGTCGAGTCAGACTCTTCGTGACCCCATGGACCAGCTCCCGCCAGGTCTAAAGTATGTGGGTAAGGTGAAACTCACAAGGCCAGAAGTCCATAACTCATTTCCAATGCTTTTGTGGAAGCAGGGGGGAGATGACGCAATGAAGAGGTGTAGATAGAGCCTTTAACATCCTTAACATGAAAATATCCACAACTTGCACATGTTTAAAAAAAGACTCTACTAATCTTTTGTTAAATAAGTTTTATTTGCACAAGTCTGCGCAAACATGTTGTAGGCAAGGGCTGGGTGCATTTTTCTACGATCAGATCCCAAACTCTGCTTTACCCGAAGATAGCAGCATGTGTAAAAACAGCCAAGCCAGTTTGTTGTAGAAAAGAATTCACTTTGTAGTTTGAACTTCAACAAACAACCATAACAGGAGCTTCTATAGCACACAGACAAAGTCCTTAGAAGGCATTCCAGCACTCTGCAGTATTCTCTTTCTTTCCACTAATTAGCTCAAAAGCAAAATAACTTAATCCAGTTTCATGCACATTTGCCCCAAACAGGAAATAAGACCATTCCAGGGGAAAGTCTTTTACACACTACATTTATTGTAATGAAACCTGCCTATATTTAACATTGTGACACATTCCTCTTGAGAATTGAATGATGCAGATAAAAAATGGAAAAAAGTATTCAGTAGAAAAACCTCTGAAACAGCATGACACAGCTACCCCTTAACTGGTAGCCCTTTGTCAGGTAATTCCAGAAGCCAACAAATCATAAAAGCAGACAAATGAAAAGAGAGTCAACACACAAAAACACACAGGGTGTTTACAACACTGGGAGGAGGAATCCTAAATAGAAGTATAGGTGTTGTGGCCTTTGACGACTCAAAAGTTGTTTTCAAAAGGGTTCACTCTTAAAATATCTGAACTGGGGATATTAGCTATTGAACATTCTCATGCGCAACATTCAAGTGGAAAGGAGAAGGGATTAATTTTTGTACAGTTTAAGGTAGTAAATTATCTGCAAACAAAAAGCATACAAACTGTCAGGAATTTCTATTTAACCAGTTAATTTATATGGAAAAAATTGTTTACTTTTGATATAAAAATAGGTATAAGCCTGTAGCACATTCTCAATTCCATTCATATCAATGACCTCATTTTCACTGATGTCAATGGAGTTAGGAGCCCAACTATGGAAATCATTTGTGAGTTCCTTTGGCAGCATAACTATGAACACACCTTAGTAATAAATAATGATATAGTCTAGAAAAGGGAAGAGGGGTAAGAGATGATCCAATCGACACCAAAACACTAAATACAGTCTCAACATCAAAATTTGTACATATTTACAATTTGCAGAAATGCATTGTAAGGGTACAGCAACTAGCAATAATGCCAAATGCAGCTACATATAAAATTTCAGTGATTTATAGAGAAGGAATATACATATGTAGTTGTATATAAAGTCTCAGATAAGTGAATATATATACACACACACTATTTATATTATATATAATATATAAAGATCAAAATACAATGGAAAAAGGTTGTTTCAACTCAACATCCATCAGACATTGGGCACCACTTAATGTAGTATCAAAGACTGTGAATCAATAAAAACTCTTGATTACCTCATGTACTGATGAACATGAAGTTATACACTTTCCCAAAAGTCTTCAATTTGTTTATAAAATGTTCAAGCTGACAGAAAAAGAGACAACCCTTGCTCTAAATAAATTTCCTAAAGAGCACCCTTCAAAATGAATCCTCAGTTTTAAATAAAGAAATTATTCATATATGTTCCATTTAGCCACTCTAGATCATCACTGGACAGAAAAAGGAAAGATAGGACCACAAAGAAAGAAAGCCTTTAGCATCTTGTTTTCTGGATTAGACAGAGATAGATAGCCCACAGGTTGATTTTCAGAACTTTTTTTTTTAAAGAAAGACATACACGTATGTTGGTCCAATATGAAGCTTCATCTGACCATGCTCACGCTTCTGAACAGTCTTAGTTAGCACCAGTATAGGAACTCAAAGAGCCACTGAACAGGCAATTTAGATTTGAACACGTGTTTTACCTCACTTTAAAGTTAACATGTATTCATAGGGCAGACAACATATACTCAGACACCAATGTATAAAGACCTTTCAATTTCTACACATTTAATCATGGTCCTTTGCTTCCCTAAATAATTTCTGTATCCCCCCCCCACATTGCTCACCCCATCCAAGACTACAGATTAGCTATATGCAAGTATTTAATGTGTGTGCAAAGTGTGTGCAAAGTCAATAAGCAAATGGACAGCAAGGAAAGAAAGAACACCTGAAGATAAAAGAACACAGATTCTTTCCTTTGATGAATTTCTATTAGGAAAGGAAGCCAGGCACTGGAACACTTCAGCTGTTCACACTACTAGGGTACTCATCTAAATCCCTGTTCTGCTCAGCATGTATTTGATATGTAAGGCCAAAAAGACCTCTGTGGGCCTCTGCTATGATTAACCCACGATGCAGGCACAAACTGCTCTTTCATGTGGTGAAGTGAAAGGAAAGCTGAGAGAGAGAGAGAGAGAGAGAGAAGTGCACAAGATTTAGTTGCATTAGGGCGGCTTGGTCTTGGAAATTAAAGCGCCCTGGGGGGAGCACTCCCCAAGACCCTCTCTTCCCTTAGACTGGGAATAAAGAGGACTCCACAGAATAAACAGTGCTAGTTTTCAGTGAAATGAAAAATGAGTGATCCAAGCTGGCAGAAGCCAGAAAGGCCATTAACTTCCTCTGTCAGTCAAGATTTCCTTCTCCCAAGTTCACGACTTTATTGTACAATCATAAAAAAGCAGTCTGTTAAGATGATCCAGCAGAGAGTGCAAACTGGGGAAAGCAAATTATCTAAATAAACTGGGTTTCAGGACAACACTCGAAATTTAAAGGTTCCATAAAAACGACGGTATTAATAAAGTTTGGAATGAACAAACAGGAAGAGCAGCGTATATAAACTTGCTTTCCACTCTCCCCTCTTATGAAAGGGAAAGTTACTTTTATGGAAGCTTAATTGTAAATAGGGAGAAGGGGGGACAGAACACTACACAAGCCAAGGTTTAAAGGCCATTTCTGAAAAGGGAAAAAAAAAACACATTAGCAGCTCACCTTATTTTAAAAGCTATGCAGAAAAAACCAGTTAAACTTGAATTAAGTTTTGCTTTGAAACTGCTTGGTTGTCTTTTCCCTTGAGCAGAAGTATCCTTTTAGCTCAATGAAGGGCAATTTAAATGACAAGGGTCAGCAACATCAGAGATTTGTTTTCAGGAACAGACTCTGCATTTTCACAGGAGAGGCTGTTGGTGGTAATTTGTCTGTTGCTGTGGAAGTGAATGAACTGGAACTGCTGGATAGCATGTTCCTTGAGGCAAACTAGAAGGAGTGTTCTGGTAGGCTAGCATATCCATAGGCAGGCTCATTGGCTGGGTGTAAGGGACCGTTCTAGCTGGTGGAAGGCAAGAATTCTGGTTCATGTAAGCAGGGCTGGACACAGAGTCTAGACCAGTGCTGAAAAACAAACAAAAAACGTTAGTCAACATGCAAAGGGATGGCAACCCAAAACAATGAAATAAACCATTCAAAGCACTGAAGTATTATTTAACATTCGACTCGGATTCCGTTTCCTGTCAGCAGAATGGTGCCCCTGAATCCTCCTCCTCCTGCTTCCGTGACCACCTCCCGCCCCTCACCCACCCACCCATGCTGGGGAACAACATGCAGGGAGTAAAGAGAGGGACTGGTGAAAACTATACTCTCTTTTCTGCTTTTCACAAAACACATTTCTGTTCTTAAAGGATGAACCTGAAAGAATGAGACATTTTATTAACATGATTTTGCTGAAGAAATACCTTAGATAAGCTGTCTGAGCAGGCTGAGATGCTACTGAAGAATTTATAGTCGGAGGCAAGGACCTCAGCTGTCCAATCTGATCACTCCCGGGATTGTAGCCTTGAGGAACACCATGAACCAAGTAGTTCCCACTATGAGCATGGAGGGGATATGGCTATAACAGAAGAACAGAACAAAACAAACTGCGTGACTAATCACTAAGATGAAGGGGCAGGGGAACGGTCTCATATATATACCTATCAAATAACACAGCTACTTTTGTAGGAAGCAGAAGCACTGCATTACGCATGTCTAAAGTTTGTGAAGAATTTCCCTGCACAGGCCCCCAAAGAGTAATGGGAGCAAATCTGTTCCTCCAAGGGTAAAGGGCAGTATTGCTTTCTTACCCTGAAAACAGAGTACTAACTCAAATCCCAGGTATTTTACCTGACATGATGAGCATCATAAAGCCTAGAACTAAAACTGTTGCTGACAAGCAAAAGGCCTTCTATTTCCTGCATCAACCTACAAAGTAGGGAAGAGATTACTTTTCTATTTCTTGCCTGTAACTGCAAAGACTCTTCCACGGTATGCTGCTGGTCAGTTTTAGGAGATCTTAGAAAGTAAAGCACATGTACAGAGGAGCAAGTGTTACAAATAAACTAACCAAACACCAGCTTGGATACTATGGGACATATATGGGTGCAGTTCTTTCCCATTCTCCTCTCCAAAATGTATAACCCACCTTTCTGCCCAATCAGAACAATCAAGGTGGCTAATAATTTAAAGTAGAACAATATATTAATAGATCATAAAACCAATTAAAACCAAAAGGAAAATACATATATAAAAAAACAGAGCCCACAATTAACACATAGGGTATAGAGGAGAAGTCACTGAGGAAACGACAAATGAAACAAAAAAATCTCCACCACGGATGGGACAATGATGGATGGGAGCAGATGAATATCCCCGAGAAGCAAGTTCCATAAATTTGGTACCATGGCTGAGAAAGGCAACCTCTCTCAGGTTGCCAGCCACCCACCTAACCTCAAAAAGCAGGGGCAGACAAAGCAGGGCCACAGAAGAAGACCACAGGATCAGGTAGGCTCACATGGGAGAAGGGGGTCCTTCATGTTGAAGGTCTCACAAGGACAAAAGGTAGATGGCGGGGGGGGGGGTACAGTCAGGAAGGGGAATTAGGTGAGATCATCCTCCTCTTCCATCAGCACATACATTTGGGTCAGACCACTGTGTCCAACCTCTTTTTTGCCAAAACTGTTTGAATTCTGCAAAAGCCTGAATACTACTAGGATAATAATTTTAAAAATACTAATCCATCTTGCCTGAATTACACTGATTTATTATTCAACATACACTTTGAAAGTGCTGCTTACACTTTTTTGTAATGAAGAAAAAGCATGTGGAAGGAATCAAAGTCTCAACACATGTGTGCAATCAAGCACTCCTACCAGAAAACTGATTTTTCATCATGATTCAATTACATAATGCAGAATTTAAATAACATTTTGCAACCATAGTTGTTAATCCTAAAACAGGAAGACCAAAGGCAAAAGCACACTGAAGCACAGGGGGTTTATATGTGCACATATCCTACAATGGCATTGTATTGTGCTCTCAATTTCTGGCATACTTGCCAAAAAGACTGAGCATCTTGGTTCTAACATGATTCCATCTTCACAGGATAACAGTTTACGAAGAACATCACCTGTGCTATGGGTGAAGGGATGAATCACCCTTAATCACTTTCTGTAGGGATAACATTTCTGTGCAGGTAAATCACACCAATAAAGAAGGAATCAAGAAAGTCTTGACACATGTGCAGTAAGCATCCCTACCAGAAAATTGATTTTTCATCAGAATTCAATTTTATATAGCAGATCTTAAGTAGTATCATGCAACCACAGTTATTAATTCTAAACCAGGAAGCATTATCTTGAAGTGCAAAGAATATTAGACCTCCAGAGGTTTAATACTCATAATTTACTTTACACCCCCAAATATAATCTTTCATCATTGCTGAGAGTTCGCAGCTAGGCATTATGGCTAACTGCATCATCTTTGATGTGGCAGTTTCCATAGTAACTATTCTTTTTGCACTGATTATGTAAAACCTAACTAATACATGCAGTCACATTTGCCTTTTTTTTTGCTTAATTATTGCCTACAAGTCCCCCCCCCCCTTTTGCATTTAGAAGGATCTCAGGGTTATTTAATTTACTGCACAAAGAGCTTGCTGCTTAGAGGAATGATGGAGATAAAAATCAAAAGTAGTTTGATTTCATTTGGAAGTATGGTACTTGTCCTCCTTAGCATTTTTAAGCATATATTTAATCAGATTCTTAGATATAAATGTCAACGATCTAACTCAAAATATATGCAGGGATATATCTGTCTTCACTGGCAAATGCTGATGTGTCACCAATTGTGATGCTGCAGTTAACTGCCTTACTCATTTTTCCACAAGTCTTATAACTGGGCAGTTTAATGTGTGAAGAGGCTGCTGTCAGGAAGTCTATTTATCCATGTTTTGATATGTGTGGTTATAGCAGAAGCATATTTATCAGAAAAATTCTCTTGGTAAAGAGGATTACACACAAAACATTCTCCAGCCTCTATTACTGACATGGTAGAAGTTAAGAGCTGCATTTCGTGGGAGAAAGTGAGAATAGTAATCAATGCTGCTTTGTTCCAAGCATATGTTGACATTTCACGCAGCAAGATTTAGGGATCCATATGGAAAGCCTGTTTACAGCCCAGCTATGAAATCGGCTCTCACAGATACTCAAACAGTCATTTTTAAGACGAGAGCATTTGCTGGATAGCTCCTAATTTAAAAAAAACAAAACAAAAAACAGAAAAGATCACTGACCTGCACTGGAACACCAGCTGTTGAGGGTGGATAGTGTGTGGATGAATGCATCTTTGAGTATGTGGAATACATAGGCGCTTCATTCATTAGTTTGTTGTACAGCTCCAGGGCCTCTAGTACTTTAACGTTTAGTTCTGACAACTCTGAATGCTTCCTAATTCCAAAAAAAGATAACCCATGTCAAGCGATTTTGGTCATCATGTATTTGTCCATGTTCTTAAATTCCGCACACCTGTATCTTTGTCTAGTTCTTAAATTTCATACGCTATATAGCAACTCTACACATGCGCGCGCAGGCACACACAGCATCCAGAGAAGATAAGGCTATGCAGGAAGACTATGCAATACCTCTGAATCTTGACTCCCAGTTTACAAATTAGCAAAATGATGTTGGGGGGGGGGGGGCACATATCTAGTACTCATTAGTCCTACTGACTGAACTGTTAATTAAGGATGAGACTGTCAGGTCTGAAAATCACTTTTATGCTTACAGCCAATGTTCAACCAAATCTGAAACACACACACACACACAATACTGAAAGGGTGGAAATCCTAAGGGCATTTCCGCCAGTGGAGAGATTTTTGCCAATTTGCCACTCTGTAGACCGCCATTTTGGGACAAGTGCTATGGTGGGGATGGAGGGGTCCTGAACCCTCAATACAAAGTTTTAGGGACCCAGGAGACTACAACAGGAACACTGCATTTCGTGAGCAGAGTACCACTTGCAAATCCTAAGATCCAGCCAGCAATGACTAGGTTCAAGGTATCCTACAAAAAAAGTACTACCAAACTTGCAAACAACTGTGTGTTCTGATCTCCTTGCAGCCTGAACTGTCCCCTCCTTTTTTCTGTGTATACATATCTTAGCACAGCAAATCTCTTGATTTTGTCTACTAATTAAGGAAGACTGGACAAGTTAAAAGAGTGTAAGAAAAATAAGGGAGTTTTGTGCTCCCTGGTGTTATGAAATGAAACACGAGCAGAATATACATTACATGTTAATTTTATTTGCAAAAATAAACCAACAAATTTTACCTATCAATTTCTTCTAGCTTTTCATCTATCATGGGACCCATCTGTTGACAGATATCTGAAAATATAGATATGATTAAAATGTTACTATTTACCCAAGCATATATAGATCAAACATGGAATTGGACCCGGTGACCATTCCACAAATAATTTCTCCACTGGAGTAACTGAATCCAATCGTACACTTATTTAAAGTACTTTGATGTCACCTCTCTCATCACCAGTGGTTCAATTTATAATGAAAGCAGCTTGAAGACGCAACTGTAAGCTATGTAAACACTTATGATACACAATATGCAAATTTTCTTTGGCTCAACAAGACATCCCCCAAATTTAGAAGCCAGACTAATTTTTCAGCGTAGGGATTTTGTAATTTAATGGTTATATTTTCTAGTTATTGTTATCACAAAGTCTAATCATACCCTCATTATAATTTCTCACAAAATTATTAAAGCTAAGACAAAATTGCTGTACTACATAAATAAATACAGAGACAATCCTGGTTGTCATGGTGTGCGTGACCGAGACCTGGGTGAGAGAAGGGGAGACCCTGAATCTCACCCAGTTAGCCCAGCTGGGCTACTCGGTCCTTCACCAATCACGGAAGAGGGGTCGGGGGGGAGGAGTTGCTATTCTCATTTGGGAGGCTTACTCCTTCAGGACACTCCCGTCTGTAGAGATCGCGGGCTTAGAGTGTGTCGGCCTGCTGTTGGGGGCTGAGGAGAGTTTGGCAATTTGGCTGGTGTACTGACCGCCTAATGCACTGGCCAATAGTCTGCTGTCCCTGCTGGAAGCCGTATCAGGCTGGGCGTTGGATCACCCTCGACTTATAGTCTTGGGTGATTTCAACGTCCATGCTGAGGACGCAGCCTCCAGCCGGGCTACGGACCTAGTGTCGTCCATGGCGGCACTGGGACTCTCACAGTATGTATCGGCTCCTACGCATCAGGCCGGGCACATGCTCGACTTGATCTTTGCAGCGGGTGTGGAGGTGGACCGGATCACTGCTGAGGCAGTGCCATGGTCGGACCACCTAGCCCTGAAGGCCCATCTGAACATTCCACCTCAACCCTGTATAGGCGGCAAGCGCATTTTTGCTCGCCCGCGGAGCTTGATGGACCCGGAGCGGTTCCAGAGGGCTCTGCGGGACTCAAGACCCCCTGGCGGCTCACTAGATGAGCTGGTGGAGGACTGGAACGTCCGATTCTCCGCGGCCATCGACGAGATCGCTCCCAGGCGTCCTCTTTGCACTTGCGTTAGGCGTGCCCCCTGGTATACCCAGGGGCTGCGGGCGCTGAAACGAGAGCTTAGACGATTAGAGAGGCGGTGGCGCCGCGCTCGTGACGAGGCAACAAGAACATCTTATAGGACGTTTATGAGATCCTATGAGATGGCAGTCAAGGCCACCAAGAAAGAGTTCTATGCAGCTGAGATTGCGTCTGCGAGCTCGCGCCCGGCCCAATTATTTAGTTTAATTCGGAATTTGACAACCTTGCCTCAGGGCGAGCAAAAAGTTAAGGAATTGGATATCGGCTGTGAGGCTTTTGCGAGCTTCTTTGCAGATAAAGTCTTGGGGCTCCGCCGCGACCTCTCCACCACAATTGAGACAGTGAGGGAACTTGAGGCCCCTTGCACGTCTTCGGGGCCGGGTTTAGAGTGTTTCAATCTACTCAGCCTGGATGAAGTGGACAGATTGCTTGTAGCTGTACGCCCAACTACATGCGACCTTGATCCGTGCCCCTCCTGGCTCATTAAAGCGAGTCCTGGGGGGCTACGAGGCGCTGTGCGGGACATTGTCAACACGTCCCTCTTGGAGGGGCGTTTCCCGACTGTGCTCAAGGAAGCGATGGTCCGTCCTCTCTTGAAAAAACCATCTCTAGACCCGGCCAAATTGGCCAACTTCCGGCCGGTGTCTAACTTACCCTATTTGGGCAAGCTTATAGAGAGGGCGGTGGCGTTACAGTTACAGGGCTTTCTGGAGGATGCTTCAGTCTTAGATCCCTTCCAGTCCGGCTTCCGCTCGGGCCACGGGACCGAGACAGCTTTGGTCGCCCTGACTGACGATCTCCGGAGACATCTGGATCGAGGCGGTGTGGCGGCACTGGTGTTGTTAGATCTGTCGGCAGCATTCGACACTGTCGACCACCAGTTGTTGATCCATCGCCTCGCCGACGTGGGGATTCAGGGGCTTGCCCTTCAATGGTTTGCCTCTTTCCTGCAAGGTCGGGGACAAAGGGTGGTTTTCGGGGACCAGCGCTCCTGTAGGTATCCCCTAGAGTGTGGGGTACCACAGGGGGCAGTGCTGTCCCCGATGCTATTTAACATCTACATGCGCCCCCTTGCCCAGATTATCCGGAGTTATGGGCTAGGGTGTCATCAATATGCCGATGACACCCAGCTCTATCTGATGCTGGGCTGATCCACGTGACGGTCACCTCGAGGCTAGATCACTGTAACGCTCTCTACATGGGGCTGCCTTTGTCGCAAATCCGGAGGCTGCAAATGGTGCAGAATGCTGCGGCCAGGCTGTTAATGGGTCTCTCTAGAAGGGACCACCATTCAGCCTGTGCTGAAAGCGCTGCACTGGTTGCCAATAGCGTACCGAATTCGCTTCAAAGTGCTGGTTCTTACCTATAAAGCCCTACATGGTCTGGGTCCAGCCTACCTGAGGGACCGCCTTTCCCCGTATGTTCCCCCAAGAGCACTACGGTCTGGGGCCCAAAATTTACTAACTGTACCGGGCCCCAGAGACACGAAACTGGCCGCTACAAGGGCTAGGGCTTTTTCGGTGGAGGCCCCTACCTGGTGGAATAAGCTCCCGGAGGAGATCCGGGCCCTGCGGGACCTGATGCAGTTCCGCAGGGCCTGCAAGATGGAACTCTTCCACCAGGCTTTTGAGTAGGGGCCACCGCCCTCCCCCCGCCCCCCTTGTTATATTGTCATCATCGGGGGCAAAAGAGGCCCTAGGAAGAAAACACCTTGAAGAAAACATCTTGAATATTTGAATGCTGAAACCACTGAACGATTATGGGGAACCCTGGACTTGGCCTGTCATCTTGTGGGGTTGTTGGAAATGAAGATCAACGAGCACTTTAAGTTTAAATCTATACTGGGTTTTAAATTGTATAATTATTTTTAACTATATGAATTATGTTTTACTGTTTGCAAGACATCTTGCCTTGTTAGCCGCCCTGAGCCCTACGGGGGAGGGCGGGGTATAAATCTGATAAATAAATAAATAAATAAACAAACAAACAATCTCTAACCCTACCCTAACTTCTCCCGTTTCTCATAATCCCATTAGTGCCTTAATAAACTCAGTTTAAATCGGGCTTATAAACAGGAATTCTTTACCTCTGGATTCTTTGGAGAATAGCATATTTGTCTAAATATAAATTAATGAGGGTAAGGGATTAGTTGGAGGTAGCAATAAAGTTATCTTATTAGGAAGTGTCAGATAAGATGGAAAAGCATTACCAGTCCCCCTTTTAATATTTTCATTTAAGGATATTGCACAAACAATACCGAATAAAGGTAGGGGAAAGCAAAAAACTGAATTTGTGTTGTTGTTAGATGTCAGTTGCAAAAGGATAGATTAAACAATATATTTCTCCAATCTGCGGAATAAAGAGGAAGAAGTTAAGAGGAAATAGGAAGATGACCTAGGAGGAACTATTATATGGAAATAATGTAAATGAAACTGAGATAATGTGCCTTGAAATGTAAGAAAAAATATGTCTATTACTTATCTATATGTAAACTTAACTTTACACCATTCAGTGATGGTGGATGAATTCACTTAACCAGTAGCTTTTTATGCTGGCTCCAATATTCAATTAAATGCAGCTTTTTATTATTATTTTTAATTAATCAAAGAAAGTAATATATATCGAATGACAGAACCATGGAAGTTTGCATTCCTGTGCTGGGGCGGGGGATTGGATTTATACCCCACCTTTCACTGTCTGAAGGAGTCTCAGAGTGGCTTACAATCCTTTTCCCTTCCCCTCCCCACAGCAGACACCTTGTGAGGTAGGTTGGGCTGAGAGAGCTCTCTCAGGAACTGCCCTTAAGAGAACTTATAACTGACCCAAGGTCACACCAGCAGTTTTTATACCCCCCTTTTCTCTACATTAAGAAGTCTCAAAGTGGCTTACAATTGCATTCCCTTCCCCGACCCACAACTGTCATCTTGTGAGGTAGGTGGGGCTGAGAGACTTCTGAGAAAACTGTGACTGGCCCAAAGTCACCCAGCAGGCTTCATGCAGAGGAGTGGGGGAATCAAACCCAGTTTTCCAGATCTGAGTCCACCACTCGTAACCACTACACCATGCTGGCTTTCATGAATGTCATGAATGGCACAGACAGTGAGGCTATGTGGGGCACATAAGTAAGATGAAGAAAGCCTACATGTCTGGCTACAATACAAAATTAGACTGGCACTCCTGCCCACTCCCCAGCTCAGATGAGTGAAGGCAAAACTACCCTGGAGTACAAGAGGATTTGTATATGTACACACTCAATTATGGCACTGCTTTGTGCAGCCAATTTGTGGCATGCACACCAAAAACAATGAGCATCTTGGTTCTAACAAGATTCCATATCCACAGGATGCCAGTTTATAAAGAACACCATCACTGTTACGGGTGAATGCATTATTCACCCTTAATGTGTTTCTATGTGGAAACCATTTCTGTGTAGGTAAACCACACGCATCACCATATGAGATCATCATATACTTTTTTGGCATACATGCAAATCAGAAATCAGATGTGCTGTCTCAGCCATGTGGCAAAATACATATGTACATTCACTGTGCGAGACACTGTATATGAGTTGCACCTACTTTCAAAAGATTAAAATACTTCTGACATTCAGTATTAAGGGAAAGTATCTAAAAATTACTAATCTTGCACTCCTTCAGACAGCAAGTTTCTTCACTATAATGAGAACAATTCATTTTTCAGCAGCTTCCAATGTGACTGTTAGTATATTAAGCATAAGCCAATACTACCTTCTAAATCCAGAAGATCAGGAGAATCAGGCTTAGGATCTGTTGGATCTATACTCTGAAGTAACTGCAATGCCTTATCCATTGTGCCCTGAAAGATGAAGAAAAGCATTCACAAAAATGGCAGTGACGTCCAAGTTCACAGAAGTCAATTTTTCATCTTGCAACAAGTGGATAAATTATTTTCAGGAAAGTGGTATTCAAAATCATCATACCTCATCTATACAAACTGGTTCAGGCTCAGCTTTTGTAACTTCCTCTGTAGTGCTTTCAGGAGAAGAGGGTTTATCCACTGCTGCTGCTGCTAAAAGAATAGGAGAACATGAGTGTCTTTTTGCACTAGCTTCTCCAGATCACCTGGAAAATATTTTTTCTATTCACCTTCAAAAACATTCATACCATGCAGCATGCTAAGGTCCCCTAAGCACAGAAACCTGGGATCTAATCAAGGGGCCAAGTGAAAGGCAAATCTTATGGCAGCTGGTCCAACCCCACCTGCAGCTCTTTCAGCCCTGCCTACTCTAGGGAAGAGCCTGGACTGTGCTATCAACTAGAGATGGGCATAAACTAGCTGACAAAATAAAGTTGGTCACAAATTTTGACTGATTTGTGGTTCGCAAAGCAACATTCGCAAACTGAAGAACTGCAACAAACCTCCATGAATTTTGATGCAGTTCATGGCAGTTCATGAAGAGCAGAATCTGGTCTTCACAAGAAACAGCTGAGAGGTGGGGAGGTCTGCTCAGCTGTTTGGAAACCCCTGCTTTCTGCTCTCCATGATAAGCCACAGGGAGCAGAAAACAGGTTTAAACTTTAAATAGCTCACAAACCGATACAAACCGGCGTATCAGTTTGTGGTTCGATTAGTGGTTCAGCCACGAACCACACCCTGAACTGTAAAAATGAGGTTTGTACCCATCCCTACCATCAAGTCTTGGAGTCTGCCAAATGCACACCTGCACCTCTCTACAGTCATACCTCTGTGATGAATTTAACTACATGCCAATCTTGGCTGAAAAGCAGGCTATAAATAATGTAACAGCACATGGAAAGCAAGTCTTAAAACGTTACTGTTCTGATCTGAAAACATCCTTTAACAAACACAGTGGTTGCCCTAAGTTCAGATCTCATATGGCAAGTTAGAAGTTATTCCTTTGCTTCATGCTGAAGAATCTGACTAGCGATACTTGAATGTTTTGGTATGGCAATGCCATAGTTTATTTACAAAATGTATATCCTACCTTGCCCTCACAAAGAGCCACCAAAGCAGCTAACAGCTTAAAGCACATGATAAAATCGCATTTAAAAACCATTCACCCTCCCCCAAAACATACATCATTAAAGTAAATTAAAAACAGAGTTAAAATATCTACAAAGACATAAAAACAGCAATTAAAACATTGGTCAGGAAAGAGGAATCATTGATGGAATGCCAAATGGGAAAAAAAGTCTTTCCCCACTGGTGGAAGATGGCAACAGAAGGGGACAGACAAATCTCCTTGGGGAGAGAGTTCCACAGCTTTGGCAGTATGACCGAGAAGGCGTTCTCTCAGGCTGCTGCCCACCTACTCTCAGAAGGCAGGGGCACCCAAAACAGAACTTTCAAAGATGACTGTAGTAGTCTGGTGGGTTCATAAGGGAGTAGGCAGCCCTTCAGGTCCCAAGCCTTGAATTGTAACCTGGGAGCTGGTGTAGATAGGTGATATGGTCCGTATGACTCACTTGATCAGTCTGAAGCACAGCACTGAAGAACCACTGTATCAGCCAATCTTTACCTGCACTTTTAGATCTAAGTGAACCCCTGCATGGCTCAGCCACTACTTAAAAGTAATACAGCACCAACAGAATGAGCCGTTACTGTCCACAAAACGTTAAGATCCCTTACACAGAGTAACCGTGATTGAGCAATTAGAGAACAATTAGGCATTGTGAATCAGAGGATCCAGATCCTGTTTCCAGGTCCTTAGTGACTTTGAACACATTGTTCAATTTCATACTGCTTTCCTCTGTAACACTAATACTTTATCATTTAAATATTTATGAACTGAGTTTAGTTCATACTTACCTGACTCAAGTTCATCATTTAAGTTAGAGGTCACAAAATTAGATGGGAACAATCCTACTCCTCTTTGATTTTCTCCTTTCCACCAGTTGGCATCACTAAGTGGAAAAAAGATTTACAACACTGAATTGCAATACTGTACTGCTCCCTCCCTTCAAAACAATTAAGATACAGGCCTGGGCTTTTCTTTATTTACAAGAAGCTACTAACTAGAATGCACTTTTATCCACCAAGGAAAAGCCAGAGACAACCTTAACCATTTGTTATGCAAGGCAACCAAAGTACTGCAGGAACAAACTGTCAAATCTCCCAGGATCTTCTAGCAGTAAAAAATGGAAGAGCAACAGCCCCATAAAACTACTTAAAAACAAAAGTACAGAATCGGTATTTGACACAAGTCACTCTGTTCCTTCTTCTTTTCAGCTAGGAGAGAGACAGGGGAATCTACACAGAGTCTAAGACCACTGCTTTCGATAGTTTAGATTGGATTAACTCTGGATAAGATTTAATAACACCTTAAATACCGCAGATGTTTTCCAAACTACCAAAGGTTGACTGAACTATGAAACTGACTCAACTAAGCCATTTCAGATGCATTCTTTCATACACACAAACACCAAGTACCCACAAGGAATTGCAGTAAGAACAATTTAGAAAACTACCCTGGATTCTATAATTTCGCAGAGGCTTGAGCAAGCTAACTTTTACCTCCCACCCCTATTTATTTTTCCCCCTCAACAGACTTTCAACATTCTGTACTCCTGAAATATATTCAGTCCTCACTGGGCTTTTCATGTTCCCTGTTTGTCTGGTTAACTTACCATGCTTTATTTTTCCTGCATAGTGACGGAATACCCAGACTATGCAGAGAACCCAATCATGTCTGTGGTGGCCTGGTTTTGTTCACAGCTTTCACGACTGGCATGAGAGCAAGCCACTTTACTATTAAATACAGTGATGCAATTATTACTTAAAGTAACTACAATGAATTCTCTGTGTGCTTTATCTTCCAATGCCTACTTTTTCAATTTGATTTTTGAATCTTCATCCAGCCAATATGTTGAAGAACAGTAGAAGTATCTGCAGGTTACTGTCTCTATTGATTTAATGGTAATCAATGATGCAGAACTAATTACAACATAGATAAAAGATAAAACTTGGATCCTAACTTCATCACCTTCCACCAGAGGAAAAAGAGAAGGCTATTTTTGCTGATACCCACTTTGTCCTCCAAGCTGCTCCCAGGGGACCAGGAGCCCTTGGGGAAAATTGTGGTGGTGGGGGGTACAGCAAGGTATACAGGAGGAGTTCTTGCAAAGTTAGCATCTGGCAAGTATTAAATAGGACCCAAGCCACTCTATCCTCTGCTTTCACCCTGACAATCCTCTCTTGGGTAGCGTTTGCAATTCTAAGACAATCTCACAAGCAACAACAAAAAAGTACACTCTGCATCCAAACTGTCACAGCAGCCCCAGATCTTCTTTTAGTACATGATATTGACCGGCCAACAAGTTTGGACCCACTTAGACAAAAGGGTGTTTCAAGATCTTCGAAGATGTCACTCAAATTCACATTCTCAATTTCATACCAGCCTGCACCTAATATTTTTAAAGTACATTGTCTTGTTTCTGGTGATATCAATGAACGAGGGTTCCTGGGTTCTCAGGTTCAGAAGCTGGGTAAGCTGTACGGTCAGTTTGTATTCTAGTTGCAAACATTTTTATTTGAATGTTCCACTAACTTCAGTGGAACTAGCTCCAAAGTCAGTCATAATTCAGATCAGACCCTAGTGCTTTAGGTGGTTCTATGTTTGCAGTAGTGCAAGTAAAAGCCACTCTCATGCTTGGAAGGTGAGAATGCTGGCAAGCTCCTACAGGATCCTCTACTTAAGGCTCAAACATTGATTTAAAGATACCTTGCCCCAAAAGCGCTTATTAGGGGCTACATGCACAAATGAGAAGCACTATGTCAAGAATGTAAGCTATCCTGTATTGCAAGAGGACATCAAGAAGACCTTTAAGAATGTGATCCAAACATAATTTACAGAAGTCAAAACATGCTTTAGAAATCATCAGCCGAACAGGAGCTCATAGCATAACATGCATTCAGTACTAAGACAGATATTCAAACAGTGAGTGCAGACAGCAAGAAAAACTTGAGTTCAACAGCTACTTCCCTTCCCCCATACAAACTGTGATTGAAATAGAATATACCTGTCATCCAAAACAATAATAATGTCGCCACTCTTAAAGGTGAGTTCATTGTCCTCGACAGCTTCAAAGTCGTACAAAGCTCGCACCTTCCTTGAGGTTTTCTGACTGTTCTGCTGAACTTCTACAGATGGGTATAAAGATTTTGTTTCCAATTGCTGCTGTTTTTGTTCTTGCAAAGACAATTCAATTGCTATGATTAGAAAAGAAACACACACAAACCTCTTTGTACTGATCCAAATGAGAGATGAAAACAGAGAGTGAGTATAAATGGGCCATTTTCTCAGTGGAGGGTGGTAAGCAGTGGGGTACCGCAGGGATCAGTACTTGGTCCACTGCTTTTTAACTTGTTCATTAATGATTTGGAGTTGGGAGTAAACAGTGAAGTGGCTAAACTTGTGGATGATACGAAGTTGTTCAGGGTGATGAAAACCAATGAGGATTGTGAGGCACTCCAAAGGGATCTGTCAAGGATGGGCAAGTGGGTGTCAACATGGCAAATGGGGTTCAGTGTGGTCACGTGCAAGGTGATGCACATTGGAGCCAAAAATCTTAACTAGAAATACATGTTGATGGGGTCCGGACTGGCAGAGACTGATCAAGAGAGAGATCTTGGAGTTGTAGTAGATAACTCACTGAAAATGTCGAGACAGTGTGTGACTGCAATAAAGAAGGCCAATGCTATGCTGGGGATGATTAGCAATGGTATTGAAAACAGATCAGCCAATATCATAATGCCCCTATATACATCAATGGTACGACCTCATTTGGAATACTGTGTGCAGTTCTGGTCACCACACCTTAAAAAGGATATTATAGCTTTGGAAAAAGTGCAGAAAAGGGCAACTCGAATGATAAAAGGGTTGGAACACTTTCCCTATGAGGAAAGGTTAAAGCGCTTAGGGCTCTTTAGCTTGGAGAAACGATGACTGAGGGGTGACATGATCGAGGTTTATAAGATTATGCATGGGATAGAGCAGGTAGAGAAAGAGGTACTTTTCTCCCTTTCTCACAATACAAGAACTCGTGGGCACTCCATGAAATTGCTGAGCGGTCGGGTTAGAACGGATAAAAGGAAGTACTTCTTCACCCAAAGAGTGATTAACACATGGAATTCACTGCCACAGGAAGTGGTGGTGGCTACAAGCATGGACAGCTTCAAAAGGGAATTAGATAAGCATATGGAGCAGAGGTCCATCAGTGGCTATTAGCCACAAGGTATAGATTGGGACTCTGGGGCAAGTGATGCTCTGTCTTCTTGGTGCTTGGGGGGGTCAACAGTGGGAGGGCTTCTAATGTCCTGGCCCCACTGGTGGACCTCCGGATGGCACCTGGTATTTCTGGCCACTGTGTGACACAGAGTGTTGGACTGGATGGGCCTTTGGCCTGATCCAACATTGAGGTGTCTCTTATGTTCTTATGAAATGTGCTGATTACACCTTTTATACTGTTAGGTCATGTTTCTTCAAGTTGTTGAGCTTGGGGTGGTCTAATAAACTTATTCTAGTATTCTGGGGCCACATATGCTCAAGATCCTTGGCTGCTCTTGCACGTGAAGATCAGGATACTACCCTGTTTCCCCGAAAATAAGACCTACCCCCAAAATAAGCCCTAGCAGGATTTCTATGCATTTGTGGTATAAGCCCTAGTGTGTCTTCTTGAGAAAAAATAAATATAAGACAGTGTCTTAGTTTCGGGGAAACACGGCACTACTAATCCAACACTGGCATTAGAAAAGTAACAGAACAGGATCTCTGCTTCCTTTCTGTCCCAAATGCCATACGGCTGAGTGGTCATGAGGCACTCCTCCCCACAAATCTAATGTAAGGGCTTTTCCACATGCTTGACTCACCCCTGATTTTCTTGGGAAGTGATCCACAAGGACTGGAATAGATCTGGCATGGCCCTCCTGCCCTCCTTGTACGCTTTCACAGTTGTGGAATCAGTTTATTTTCTTACACATGTGCCTTCAGTAATGACAATTTTCAATGGAGGGTGCTGTCATCATTGGTGGCATCACAGCACCCTCCTCATTTATTTTTTTTAAAAAGGCACTAAAATATCGCTGGATTGCTGGAGCTTTGTAATGACAGGCTTAGGAGGTTCTCAGAATTCCCAGGTTTCATTAAAAAAAAAAACCAAAAAGTTTGTCTCTAACCCCTTCCCTTGCAGATATATAAGGGAAAAGGCATATCTCAACAAGGGAAAGGGGCTAGACAGGGGACTTGCCCTACAAGCTGAGAAAACTGGTCTGGTGTGCTGCTGTGTGGCACACATACCGGAGGAGGGGGGGCCTACACCTGATATATAAGAAGATTTTGCAGAGGACTACTTCGGCTTAATATTTGAAGACTATAATTTATAGATTCAAATCTTCTGTATGCCTGTATATAACCAACTGTGGCTGACATCCATTACATTCAAGGAAACAATGTGCAAGTGCTGTTAACTTGCTAAATTAGCTGCTTCCCTCTGCCCAAAGGACCACCATTCAGCATGGAGAACGTTCACAATTAGCTGACAATTAGCAATGGATGTCTAAGGCCTCAAATATGAAACTGCCGACAGGCAACCCATGTCAGATCTTGACTCCCCTCAGAAATGCAATGCAAAATGTTAAAAACTTTTAGAAATGGCAATAAGAGATGACAAATATGCTGAGCCCTCAACAAAGGGGGAAAGTAGTTTTTAAAGTGGGCATGTTCAAAGGCCTGCATCCCTTAGTAGAGGTCCAGCTTCCCCACAGCCTCCACAACCTTAAAAAATGAACATATTGCTCCCATCCTTGGATTCCCAACCCTAGTCCTTTCAAGTACATAGGTTCAGCTTTCGGTAAGAGGAAAACATTATGCACTTGAAGCAGCAAATTACAATTTCAAGATGAACAATATAACAAATGAAGTGTTTCTAAACCTCTTAATTACTAATGCTTTACCTTTAGCTATATCTTCATCCTCTTTGTTCTTGTTCGATGAGACACCATTCTTGGCAGCAGTTGAGATACCCTGTAAAATTTAACGGCAATATCAACATGCTTCGTATGTGGAATAAAATTCTATATTTGCTTCTACTCTAAAAACAGCAGCAATACTAATTTAGTGTCTCAGGTAAGCCTTTTTGCCCCCAAAACTTTAACAGGAAGAGAGAGAGAGAGAGGAATTTCAAGAGAAGGTTTTTAAGGATGAAATGCTATGACTCAAATTTTTTAGACAGTAATTCCTAACCCACCCACCCCTTGGTAGCAATTCTTAGTCAATTCTGTCACAAGGTAATGTTGCTTATGGAGACTCCTACACAAAATGCCAACTCAGGTCCCGAGAGACTGACCAGAGACGTTACCTGACATAACAAAGGAAGGCTATAAGTGGCATTGTCAAGGTTTGAGCTGGAAGCCACTGTGACACTCCTCCCAGTCTCAATTGTGACTGGGTTGGAACCAGACTACATTTTCCACTCCCACTGCACATTTTCCACATTCTCCCCCAATGTTCCCTCTAAGCTGTGGGGTCCTGTGAGCAAAAATTCTACTTTGTGAGCTACTGGCAATTAAAGTTGTGGAGTGAGTGATTTGGCTACTGCATAAATTAGTTTGCTCTGGAGCCCTCCTTTCTGAGCCGAGACAAAAATGTGTGAGCCGGAGGCTAAAAAACTGTGAGCTGGCTCACACTAACTCAGCTTAGAGGGAACACTGCTCTCCCCTCCCACTGCAGCTCACTGGTCCCCACAAAATGCTGCTCCTGGGGAACAGGGGAGTATATAGCAGGAAGGGGGGGGAATTGGCAGAAACTGCCCATTTGGTTTGGAAACTGGGTTCAAGTTATATTCACAATGCTTCATGTTCGTGCATTTCTTGATAATTGTTTCCTAACATCCGCTAAGGTTCTCCTTGTGTTTCTTGAGTTGCCACTGAGATGCAATCAGGTACAGTCCAGCACCATTACAAACCCATGAAAACGAGAATAAAGTCATCTTATATTACTAAGCCTTTACATAATGCACTTCAAGTTAATGGCTTCATATACGTTACCCTAGAAATTTACAACAGTCCTGTAAGGCAGAATAGTTTGTATAAAATGCTGTCGTGTCACAGCTGACAGACTCCACAGTGTTTTCAGAGCAAGAGATGTACAGAGGTGGTTTGCCATTGCCTGCCTCTATGTAGCAACCATGGGCTTCCTTGGTGTTCTGCCATCTAAACACTACCCAGGGCTGACTCTGCTTAGCTTCCAAAATCTTATGAGATCAGGCTAGCCTGGGCCAGGGCAGGGCAAGTAGATTACTAGTACCAAGAAAGTAGTACTTCAAGATTAACTGAGGTGCTGGCCAGATTGGTTTTTTATTTTTTTCCATTCCAAATGCTAAGATTTGATAGGTGCCTATGGATATATGGCTTCCAAATTCTTTGCTTTCATGAAATGCAATTTCACATCCTTCCTAAATTTTTCTCTCAGGGCACCTATGCAGGCTTGGCTAGAACCAAACCCAGTCTTCTGTTTCTAATGCGGTGCTCCTATTTGTCCAAGGCAATTTTTTAAAACTCAGATTAAATCTTTTCTCATACACGTACACGCACAAACATACACACACTAAAACCTTTCGGCTGTCTTATCTGGTATCTTCTCAAACTAGGGGAGCCACAGCTTTCATGTTGTGAAAAGACCTCATTTTTTTAAAAAAATACATAATTCTTTCATCTGCAACCAAATTTAAATTTAAATGTCTTCCAAAATGAATTTTAAAGTGCATTCTAACTGTTGCTCTTTTAATGAATGATTTCCAAGTATTCCATTCAATGTCACGGCTTCTTGCATGTGGAGTTTTCCAAAGCTACCCATAAAACAAGTAGTAAGGAAAAGACGCTGAAGATAGGGGTAGCTTAAAGTACACATGAACACATGAAGCTGCCTTATACTGACTCAGACTCTTGGTCCTTCAAAGTCAGTGTTGTCTACTCAGACTGGCAGCGGCTCTCCAGGGTCTCAGGCAGAGGTCTTTCACATCACCTACTGCCAAATCTTTTAACCGGAGAAGCTAAGGATTGAACCTGGGACCTTCTGCATGCCAAGTAGATGCTCTATCACTGAGCCACAGCCCCTCCCAGGTTGGCTGGGGGGTGGGAGGGAGAGAAGGAAGCAGGAATACAGGAGAAACTATGGTCCTTTCCACACATGGATCTCATCCCTGGCTTTATCAGAGTTCAACTCACGGCACAAGACCTTGCATTTATCCCTGTTTATAACAGCATCCATTTATCCTGGGACAAGTGTGGGGTGAAACCGGGGTGACCTCAATGTAATGTGGAAACAAAAAATACCCCAAGATAATTACAGGAGTGAACTCGAGTGTAGTGTAGAATGTAAGTTCGGGGACAGGATTGAACCAGGAATTAAGGTCTAGTGCAGAATCACCCTATTTTTATTTTCTTAATTCCTACCCTGCCTTTCTCCCCAAGGGGGACCCAAAGTTGCTTCTCCTCTGCTCCACTTTATCCTCACAAGAACCCCGTGAGATACATTAGGCTGAGCGTGTGGCTGGCCCAAGATCACTCAGAGAGGGGATTCAAACCTGGGCATGCCAGAGCCTGGACTGACACTAACTACACCACCACATGGCAGAGTGCGGGAAAGATTAAATAACATGGGGGGGGGGGGAGATACAGAGGAAAATGAGATGGCTTTGCAAATGCCCCATCTGTTTATTCTATGCCCAAGAACTGTCATTCCAGACCATGGAGAATCAGAGAACAGTACTAAGCAGGTCTACTCAGACAGAAGTTCCCTTTTATTCATGGAGCTTACTCCCAGGGATAAGGATTTCAGCCCCATTATATTTGTTTTTCTTGATCTATTCTTTATTTTAGTTGTACCTTAGCAGTACTTCAGTAAAGTTCATTCAAGTCAACTAGTATTTGTGGCTCCCATTACATACACACACACACACACCAAGGACCTGCCCTCCTTTTAAGAGATTAAATCACCCGGTTAACCACCTGCCATGCATTATTGCTTCATTCTGGTGTGTCAATCACCCCATCACTGCACAAGGCTTATGCAAAAAAGCTACAACTCCAGAAGGAGTTCATACCAACAAACTAATCCTGGGATCAACTTGCTAAAATAATTCCAATCCATTACGGTAAGTTCACCTAGTGAACTCATTTGTGGAAATGATTGCAGCATGCATCCCTAATGTGAAGGTATTTTAAACAGGAGAAAACCTCAGACAATCAACATCCATTTGAATGTGGAAAATGTGGTGAGATAACCTAGTGAATGGTGTCATTACAACAGCTATAATTATCATTCATAAATCAAGATGGCTTTGCAGTTAGTAAAAACAAAGTATCCAGCAATGCACAAGTAGAAATATAAAGGGGACTTAGTACACTTATGGCCTTTTTTGCCTCAAGTTATAGCTGACTTATGGCGATCCCACGGAGTTTTCAAATCATGCCATGACTCTGAACTTCTTAGGTGGTCTCCCATCCAAATACTAACCAGGGCCAACCATGCTTAGCTTCTGAGATCTAACAAGACCGGGCTAGCCTGGGCAATCCAGGTCAGGGCTTTACTGCCTTATTACTTGTGAAACAGTTTTAGTGCAAGGGGAAATTTTGCACTCAATCAAATCCAAACAGCAGGGAAAAAACACATCTGCCAAACTTTATAAAAATTCATTTCACAGTCTAATGATTTTTTTCCTGTCATTTTAACACACAACAGTTCAGTTCTAACTCACTCAGTAAACCTCAGTAAGAAATATGGCAAACTACCCCAACATGGCTTTTAAAAAGACCATACAAAAATCTATCATGTATACAGGGACAACAATCATACAAGTGGTCTAGGAGCAATTCTCAAGCAAACAATTTTAGAGCGTTCAGGGATGGGTTGAACTTTCACGAAAATGACTTAGGCCAAATTCACATGAATAAGCAGCACTAGAGTAGCCATTTTAAAAGCAACTGTGCAGCGGCTGCTCAGCACGTCAAAGAGAATAATTCAGAGATAGGCAGCACCAACAAGTAGAACAAACCAGGGAGCATCCTCAACAGGTGCCAGGAACCAATTTGAGTTCTTAATCCTTCTACACAAAGCTAGTAAGCAACATTAGATAAACTAATCTTGAGCTTGGAGAAGGATTTCCATCCAAAATGTTGGGCTAGTTCATTTCTTCATAATATACTGCTGAGCTTTTTTCATGTCTCGTTTGCACCATAATATAAAGAATTTGTCACAAGGAAGTGGGTTTTCGCCATGTTACAACCACCACTTCCCCGCCGCGACAACTTCACTCATTTGAGCAAAGGCTCATGAAGATGCAACCTTGCAAATGGATAAGATCAGCAATTGCATGTACACACGCATTCCTTCTGTGTCTTCCACCTTGTGGAACGGAATACCCAAGGAAGTCAGGAAGGCTCCCATACTTCTAGCAGAATGCACAAAACAAAAACATTCAGGGGGGCATTTTTTATAAAGGAGTAGTCAGAGGTCGATTCGGGGGGGAACGCAGGGGATCGCAGTTCCCCCAGGTGAGGTGCGGGGGGCGGGGCACACTACGAAGCCCCGCCCCCTGCTTCCGGCCGCCCCACTTCCGGCCCTCATTCAGCCAGGAGGAGGCAGGAGAAGAGGGAGGGTAAGTTGCTTCCTCCCCACCTCTCCCCACCCCTGCCTGCCTGGGGCCAGGGAGGGCCTTGGCGGGGCTTCCTCGCACTCCCGCCGGCCTTGCAGGTCCACCGCCGGGCCCCTGATGTCAGGGGGTGTGGCATATGCTAATGAGTTATGCTAATGAGTTCCCCTAACTCTTTTTCTACGAAACAACCCCTGGGAGTAGTCCATTGCAATGTTTATTGTTATCATCTTGTTTTTATTGCATTGCCTTCTTCCTTTGTAACCTGCTTTCTGCCTTGTTTACAGCATAACAAACCTTAGATAGTTGGTAGTTAACAACATTTTCTACTTCTGTAATCTCAGTCTTTGCACTGTTCACTCAATGTTGAAGGCTGTCTGTTTTTTATATTTTGTAATCTTGCCTTGAGTCTCAGTGAGAAAGTCAGCTACAAAGTAAATAAACGAACACTCCCATCCATCCACCCTATATATGTAATAATGTTGCGACAGCATGGCTCAAGAGAGCAGATCTGTGGATCATGTGGCAAAAGACTCACTGTGAGGATTGTTCTCTGTATTCTTGGGCCTCTTGTGCCTGCTTCGTTTGTGTTTATCAGAGCCTTCAGTTTGGCGGTACTAAAATTCCCTGTGTAGGTGGGGCTGATAATGATCCCTATGATAGTATCTTATTCTGTATCGTACGTCTAAAAACCTTCTCACAATACGAAAATTAAACATTTAGATGAAATGATCCTTAAGGCAAACATGCTCAGGTATGTAGCTCTGACTTTTAAAAATGTTGCTGATAAAGAAGAACATGTTAACACAAGTGAAACAAATCTAAACCAAATCTCTTACCTGTGACATAGTTGTAGGAAACGTAACCCCTTCTTCCTTAAGGGATTTAACAGTTGCTGATATCAGACTAAACTGTGGATCTTTCTGAAATTCATCTGACCATTCTACTAACAAAGCTTTTAATTTTTCACATACTTTAGGATGAGCCTATGAAACAAGAACCCAAAGGAAAACACTGTTGTGCATAAAGAAATAAATATATATGTAGTTACAGTATGTTGTCAAAAAAGAAACACATATTTCAAAAAGGATGTTATTTGTACAGTTGAACCTAAATCTAGAGATAAATATGGATACTGATAACGTATTTATGACAGGCTCACAAAAGAATTGCTCTCGTTGTTATTCAAGTACAAGATAAGCTTCCAGAGACGCTAATGCTCCTGCCATTCTACTACTGTGAAAGAGAATAAATACTCTTTCCTTGCACTCACTGGCACTACATTTAACACCTCTCTTTCATATGCTGCAAACTTCAGTCTCCTTAAGAATTGTCATGAATGTAGTAGAAGTGCAAATTATTTCACTGTTCTGTATAGCTTTACCTCATCCATAACACCTCAAAAGTTTAATCTACCTCTCTAACCCCTATCCATTCAGCTTGCTAAATCCTTTCCTGCCACCTAACCACCTAAGGTAATGCCAGAAGTATTAGACAGATGTAAAGACACTCTTGCAATTTTCATCAATGTTTTCATTGGCTTTCACTCCATGCCATGCATACTAGAACCTTACCTTGTTTATTATGACACGCACTTCACTGGTAAAGTCACGTGAGCAGATTTCTAAGTGGAAAATCTTTCCACAGTTTGAAACACAAGCTCCTAACAGCTAAAAAGCGAAATTGGGGAGGAAAAAAATAAATCAATACAAACGGCCATACAAAATATACAACGTTAAGGTGTTCACTGGTAATAATATAAAGATTTACTATGTCATTCCATGCACAGGTACAAATATGATTCAAAAGCAAAATTTGTTGGTGTTACATTTTGAAAAAAGTTTACACTGCTCTATTTATATAACAAAGTATCGTTTGTTATACTTACAGTCAGTGCCTGTAGTGCAACATGGGGTATCTTGTGATTTACTCTCTTCAAAATGGCTTTAAGGCAGTCTTTTGCTCTAGAAAAACAAAATCAGGGAAGAATGTCTTACTTAGCTATGAAATAAGCAATGTGCTATGCAAAACAACTTGATGGAAACACCACTACAGCACTGTGCATTCTAATTTGGCTCACTAGGCCCTCACTCAGCTGCATATTACTTTCCATACTGGAAGAAATCACTGTCAAATATTCAAGCTCAAATATAGGGTTAGAGCCTGTGAGAATTCTACTAAGGTTTGAGAGGGTAGGTGATTTCATCCAATTCCCCCTCCATACTGCAATCACCTATGTCACACTGCATTTTATTTACAAGCCCCTCCCCAAATTTTCACAGAGGGTTTTCAGGAGTCATCAGAGAGATGGAAATATCCGCCTCCATTAAGGGAAAACTTGTAGTATCCAAGCCGGAGCTTTCCCCTGGAAGCTTACAGTGCCACCCTAAGCAGAATTATATCATCCTAAATCCACTGACTTCAGCATACTTAAAAGAATGCAATTCTGCTTAGGATGGCACTATTTGTCTAAGTAACAGACAAATACATGCAGTCAAATAAGTGGTTATTAAATAAAACTGCAAATTCATAATAGAACTATTAACTAGATAGTTCTGGAGCTTGTTTCCTGTTATGAGAAAGGAATATTTACATAAACATGCTAATTTTTTATTTATAGTCTGACTGCATGCATTTTCTCTATGTCAAGAATTTACTACATTTTCCCTAACACAAAGAAGAAACAACATATCAGTGTGGACATTTTTCTGTACTGAAACTTTCTCAAAAACAGATCAGTTGTGGTTTTTTTACAAGATTATTTAACACAGCCATATCATTGTGCATGCCTAAAGCCTGGAATGAGTAAAGCTGACCCTCAGGTTTGGGCTCAAGACACTCAGACTAATTAGCAGGTGAAGGAGTTTAACAGGGACATAAAACCACATTCAGAGAGGTTGGCAAGCCAGAGAGAAAGCACCTTACCCGTTAGGAGTGCTACCAACTTTGTCGCATATATCCATAATAAGACCCCAGTCTTCAGCAGTGTTGTACTCATTTGTGGCCTTTTCTACAAAATAAAAATAGGATTTTGAGAGTCAACACCTTTAAGACACAAGTACTCTTTGTTCAGAGCTACTCAAACAAGCGCATTTTTATTCTGAATATACTGCTACCAAAGCCATGACCTCTACACAGGTTGAGATTTTCCCTGGAAGCAGAGGCCCTAGATCAGACTGACATTAATTACAGTGCAAAACAAATAAAAACAGCAACTATTATCATCTCAAGCTGTAACAGAATTTCTGAAACAGTAAGTCTTTCATAGCTGTTTTACCCAAATTCAAACACAGCCATATTCGGCACATTGTCTGTTAGACTGCGCGGGAGCCTCATCATGTTTCTTTTCCATCCAAACCACAGCTTAAACTGCATTTCAAATAGCAACTGGCAGCATTACTATTTAATGTTAAATTATCCATATTCTTAATGGAAATAAGACTATTGCAGTTTTCCTAAATCTCTGTGTTTTTGAAACAAGACACTTCCACCTTTAAGATAACAACTATACAAATATTTGTAAGCTTAAGAACTCTAGGGAGGCTCCATAAGATAAATTTGGTGGTTCAACTGCTATGTTCAAATGCAGCTACAACTAATTTATCTGTGAAATTTTAAAAGGTCAAACTAGAAGACAAGTCAGATGAGTTGAGGAAAGGGTCTCTTTAAAAAAAAAAAGTGCAAAGTTATCTTTCTTAGACAGTAAATTGCAGCCATGCTGGCATCACAATACAGGGAAATTAATACTTCCCTTCCACTGCCCTTTCCTTATTTGAATCCATTCTTTGGATCTTGTTTGCACCCAAGGTGTCTGCATGTACCCTTTGTTAGGCAAGGAGAAGTTCTTAGGGAATGACTGAGATGAACAAAAGCAGAGTGGGTAGGAAAGGGTTACCTACGGACCCCTTATCCTCATATCCTATTTATTTTGTTATAGATCACAGGATATCTGTTAACAAATCTACAGCTTTCACAGCTAACTTGATCCTTAGAGCACTTCATTGCATTTCTCCTAGTACTTTTATAAGCAGACTCCTATACGGAGTAGGAACAAGAGTTACAGAGCAAAGCTTAAACAAGTACTAACAATGGCCCAGAAAACTTTATTCAGAGCAGAAAGCTGTAAGCCAAGATGATTTCCCTGAAGCGTCTCTAGAAGGACATATTATTCACACTCTTCTGCTATTTCCGCTCAAGACTTGTATGAGGGGGCCTTTCATCTGGTTGGTGAGAGACTTTGATCTGAATAACTTCATATGGAAGAAATACAGCACCGCCAAGAGCGTGAAGTGATTTGGAAATATCTATTGCACAACCGTAGACCAGGCAGAACGAGACTGAAGCGCCCCAACCCCAGACACCCATGCAATAACATGTCACCTTTCCAGACAATAAATGTATTGTACTTCTGAAAGTGCAGGAAATGTTTCAACAGGAAGAAAAGCACCTTCAAAAACTGGTTATGTTTATGAAATATTCTAGTTTGCATAAATCGCTGTACGTGCATTGGTGCCAGTTTCAAAAGCTTCTATTTGTATATTCTTAGCTAGAGAATGGCCTCAGGGGCCCTCCCCTTTGCCATAGGAGGAGGCATGCTTCCAGGTTGTTCTGATGCTGCACGTAACGTAGAATGCGAGGAATCTCAGTATAATAGCACAGGAAAAGATTCTAAGAGAAAATTACCTTAAATCTTATCTTTACTATTTTCATGGGGTGCGTTCAGACGCACCGTTTGATCTGGTGTCGTCACGCTTCAGCAACGGATTTTTATATGCACGATCACACAGTCAACACCTGCCTCCCATCCCCAGCCGTTGGTTTCCAGCTCAAAACCGCTTTAACCCGGAGTATTTTGTTACCAGGTCCCAAAGTGGTATTTTCTCAGCTCTCCCATTTAAAGCCGCATTTTCCCCCTGTGGGATCGCTCCTCCAGTGTCAAGCCACTTCTGGCTTAAACCCCCTCCCCACTCGAAAGCTGCCCAAGGCTTCCGCTTTATGCCCATTTTTAATGCGTTGGTGGTGTGCGCATAGGTGGATAGGCGGAGCTCTGCTACTGTGTTTAGAAAACCGACATTTAAATGGTCACTTGTTTTAGAGTTTAGATGAGTTCGGGATCTCACGGAGGCCATTTTCGGGTCAAACCATTAAAGGGAAGTCTTTTGTTGGAGGGGTTGGATTGATTTGCCCTGGTGGTTCTGCGCATGCGCCATGATAGTTCCCCCCCATTCTACGAAGGGGCGCCTATGCGCCTGCGCAAACTGAGAAAAAAAATTAAAAACTTTTAAAGGGAAGTCTTTTGTTGGAGGGGTTGGATTGATTTGCCCTGGTGGTTCTGCGCATGCGCCATGATAGTTCCCCCCCATTCTACAGAGGGTCGCCTATACGCATGTGCAAACTGAGGGGAAAAAAATTAAACCCTGCCGATGCACGGTCCCGCACGTCAGTGGTGTAGACGCCGGGGAGCAATATGACTGCACGGTGAGGCAGGATAAGGGAGGTAAATGTGATTGCGATTATCCAGATCAATTATAATCCAGTTAGAACTGGAGCAGTTTAACCCACTCTCAGCACGCCGTCTGACCGCACCCATAGAGTGTTTTTTTTATCATAAGCAAGCAATAAACTTACACTAAACAGAGAGTTATTTGGTGGGTGCTTTTTATAATGTTGACTAGTTCCAGAAAGCAAAGTTCACCTGCATCAGTCTTCTTATCTCTCAACCGTATCCTAGAAAGCTAAGTTAATGGACCTCTCACCGAAGACTGCACCATCATCAGTGTAGTAAGGCTTCCTCATTGTATAAAAGTATCTGAATTAGAAGAGACATTTCAAAGCTCTGAGGAAGGGAACTTTGACTCTTGAAAACTTATACACAAAAAACCTTGTTGGCCTCTAAGGCACTACTGGATTCAAGGCTACCAGAATATCTATGCCACTTTAAATTCTAAAAACCCTTTTGATTCAACAAGAATTAATATAACTGAAAATCAAAAGCACTCCCCCTGCAGGTACTACAGAAACTGTTGCCATCTACAGGGTAGAAGCAGCTGTTTACAAGTTTAAAAGCCACAGTTTCTGTTTACAAGATGGCATAGCAGAGTTTTCAGATGAACCTGTACTTTTGGAGAACACAGTCCCAGTCCTAAATATATTTTAGTGCGTACACAATACAAAATTACCCACACAAATAAGCGTACCTCTGACCTGAGTTTTTCTTACCTTTAGCTAGTACAAAGGCAACTGTCTGTCCTGTTATATCACCCATATTACACCTATTCTTGGGAGAGCTACATCAGTTGCCAGTTTGCTTCCAGGTTCCCTATAAGGTGATGTTTACCACCTTTAAATTTGTACACATTCTGGCCCCTGCAAATCTTAAGGAGGGTGCCCTCTTCTGTGAGATCACAGCCAGAGACATTGTTTAGGGTGACTCACCTATGGGATAGTGTATCTGTTTGGCAAGGACCTGAAATCTGACTTCTACTCTATAGCATGGAAACTGTGGGACACTTGTTACCAATGCTCCCTCTAAGCTGTAGAGTCCTGTGAGCAAAAATCCTACTTTGTGAGCTGCTGGCATTAAAGCTGTGAGCAAGTGACTTGGCTGCTGCATAGATTAGTCTGCTCTGGAGCCGTCCTTCCTGAGCTAAGGCAAAAATGTATGAGCCGGAGGCTAAAAAACGGTGAGCTAGCTCACACTAACTCAGCTTAGAGGGAACACTGCTTGTTACTCTGGAAATTGTTTCACTGGATACCTGTAGGCAGCTTCTTAAGACTCTTTTGTCAGATCTATCTTTGGCAATAAGGTTGCCAGCATAAAAAGGCTTCTTTATTATGTTCTGTAACGCCATATAATATGGTTGTTACATTTTAGTGCACTATTACTTGTAATTTTAGCCATTTTATTGGACACAGTATAGTGAAAATGTTGCATATTTATATTTTTAAAATGTATAACTCTAATCTGTAAAAACAAAGGTCAGTGCAAACATTTTGACAATCCTAAGAACACAAACTGCTTGTAAAATGTGAATCTGTCCTCAGATGTCAAAATATCCGCCAGTGCAAGCAACTGACTTCAGCTGATATCACTATGAACAAGGACAGATGACAGAATTATACATGTCTTGTCATGTATAATAAACTGCATGTGCAACATCCTCTTCAGTTACATTTAACTTTTTCTCATGGTATTTGGAGCATTTTTCAGGTCACTTATAATACCCATGTAAGCATTTATTTGATTCTTAAATAAAAAGGTAGAAGATAAAAAGATGCACACACAAAAAAAAGTTTACTGGACACCATTATTGTGTAATTCAACAGTGTCCTAGCAGTGGTAAAAAAAAAAAAAACAATCTAGTCCAACAAGCTTAACATAAACAGATCAAACCTTTCGCTGAAGGCACACAGTCTGTGGCTCACAGAGAGCCACATTTGCAATTACCACCAACCAAAAGAGCCACCTGGCCACCTTTAGTCTTGCACCCAACAAAGCACACACAATGATATTGAAAATACAAGTGGAGACCGAACAAGAAACTTGCGGGAGCAACTATCCTATGTCCCTCACCTTTTCTTCCTCCCTTCTCCCCCTCCTTCTCACATTCTTTCTCCCTCCTGCCACACCTTTCCTTACTCTTACTCTCCTCTGTGCCTGTCACTTCCTCTCTCTTTCTGCCCCTATCCCATCACACTCCCACCCACCCACCTGCTTCCTCCCTCCCACAGCAGCAATGGTGGCAGCAGCTCTCCGGGAATCCCAACAGATCTGCCAGCTACAGAGATCAGTTCCCCTTAGGGTTGCCAGTTTCAGGTTGGGAAATTCCTGGAGATTTGGGGATGGAGCCTTGGGAGGGTGAGGTTTGGGGAGCAAAGTGACCTCAGCAGATATGCCATATCCACCCTCCAAAGTAGCCATTTTCTCCAAGGAAACTGATCTCTGTCATCTGGAGAGCAGTTGTAAATCTGGGTAATCTCCAGCCCTCACCTGGAGGTGGGCAACATTAGTTACCCTGGGGAAAATGGCAGCTTTGGAGTGGAGTCTATGGCATAAATAAATTCTACTTGTCTGAAGTCCCTCCCCTCCTCAAACCCCACCTTCAAATGTCCAGGCATTTCCCAACTTGGCAACACTCCTTCTCACTAAACAGCCAACCTACCTTTACCTACCCCTCTGTCTTCAGCTTTCTATCTCCTTTCCCTTTCTAGCCTCTACTGAGGAAAACTGGTCTTTCTCCACAGTGCAGACCAAAACAGCTTACAGCTTACATTATTCTCTCCATAACAGCCCAGTGCAGTAGGTTAGGCTGAAAGTATATGACTACTCCAAAACACCCAATGAGCTTGCACAGAAAGATGGGGATTTGAACCTGGGTCTCGCAGACTGAAGCTCTAACTGCTACACCACACTGGCTTTCACAGGGTGGCTGCTGTTGAACAGTAGCAAGTGGCCAGGACCAGTTGAGTTATGCAAGTCAGGTGGCATCAAGACACCCAGAGGCTGCTGTGAGGCCTAGGGTTGCCAACCTCCAGGTGGGGCCTGGAGACCTCCCAGAATTTCAATTGAACTTCAAACAACAGAGATTTGAAGTTCTCTAGAGAAAATGGCTGGTTTGAATGGTGAACTCTATGGTATTATATTCAGCTGAGGCCTCTCCCATCTCCAAATCCTGCCCTCCTCAGATTTCACAACAAAATCTCCAGAAACCTTCCAACCTGGAGCCGGCAACCCTGGTTCCTAGTCAGGCCTGGTCCCAAAGAATCCTCCCTCAAAGGCAAAATAGGCCTGGAAAGGGCCCTGCCTCCTCCTTTTACTGACAGAATCCAGCCTGGAATACTGTGGTTGCCTAACAACAGCCACTGACGGAATCTGTGGCTTAAAGGTACAGGTGCTTCTTTTATCATTTTTGGATTTTTAAAAAAAGTTCCCATTGTTGTTGTTTTCAGATTTCACATTTTTCTGAAAACCTGGGCCCCTTTTTCAGATTTGTAGAAACATCTGTCTTGCCCGTTCTTTGTTGTTGTTCAGTCACACAGTCGAGTCCGACTCTTCGCGACCCCATGGACCACATCACGCCAGGCCACATTCACAGCTCCACTAACTAGATTTACATATCTAAAGATTGGCCAACTTCACTATTAGAATACAACTCTTACATTTAAGCATATAATTATAACCTTTTAAACTTACAGAGTGTTTCTGAACATGTAGGATTGTCTCTCCCCATCATGGTTAAACATTTGCCAGCTCTTGTGTATCTAGCATAAGGGGAGGGGCTTTCACGTCTGACTTATGATGACACAAAACATTGTGCAAAGCTTTCAAGTGCTCCAGAACTTGTCATTTCAAGTTATCCAGAACTTGTTTAGTCACTCATCCTTCAGTCATTCTAGCAGTGGCTCTTTCAAGGTGGGAACCATCTGCCAACCATAAGCCCCCCCTCAGGTAACGGCCTTACCCAGTTTCTTGCAACATAAGGTGCATACAGCATACATCATTGGAGAACGGTGCTCATAAGAGAAACAGATGCATATCAAAAAGCCATGTGTGGCTCCTGAACCACTGCATATCACTGGTTTAGGGTATTTACTGTTATTCCACAATACTAGACCATCTACTCTGAACCAGTAATTTCAGTGTAGCTGTCTGCTTTCACAATTCTGTAATGCTGACGACCACAGTTGCCTTACAGGCAAACTAAGCTTTATACTGAAGACCAATGATCCAACCTGTTGACATTCTGACCCTATAAAGCAGCCACAAGAGGAAAAGTTTGGTAAAGCCTTTGTCCCTGCGCTGTTTTCCCAGATGAAACTGCCCTGAAATTATACCTTGGTGTGAGCTGAGGCAAGATCTCCTGCCCCTTATCCTGTGTCCTGTCTCCAGTCTGATCACCCGGATGATCTTTAGGGTACAGATCCCACATCACAGTTACCCAGAATAAGATAGATTTCGGCTCTTACAGAGATTTATTGGTACTGTATGGCAGGACAGAAACCAGCATAACAAGCTTCCACATCTTCTTGTCTCTAGCACCAGTACTGCTGGAATTTGCATGACAAAATATAGAGCAAAGAGACAAAGAAAACCAATGTTTCAGTGGGAAGACAATTTTGTTCCAATATGTCTTCCCGCTGCACCCCTGTTTTTTCTTCATCTTTTTGCTCCAATTTGGTGCTACCCTTCATTCTCGTCTTGATGGCAGAATAGGAACAATTACTAGGTTAGGATTCAGGGTAAAAACCCATTTTATCCTTAATTTTGTTCTTTGGCAAATCAATTCACAACTCACTCCTCTGCCCCGGAAATAAAAAACAAAAATCACAGATTAAATAGCTCACAATCAATGGAGCATTTAAAGAAAATACAGGCTATAAACAATCCTGTTTTCTTTGTATGCCTAAAAACAGATCAAACACCTTTCAGAAAAACAACATATTTCCCACTCCACTTTGAGTAGTAGAGTCAACACTCCAAAACAGAGTCATTTCTCCCCAGCAGCTCGTCAAAACAAATATTATCTGATACACAAATGAATAGCTTGGTCCTATATGTAACCCTTCCTGAGCAGTTCCTGTATCAAACCAGGAGTGAGGAGACCAAAGTTCTCTTCAACTGCAAAGCTTCCTGGGTGACCTTGGGCCAGCCCCTCTTTCTCAGTCTCAGCTACCACAAAGTGTTGTAGTTAGATTCAATTGAGACAAAAAGAAAACCTTCAAGGAAAAGAACAATAAAAATGTAGTATCTCGGTATTGATCTATACTGAACTGCAGGCTTTAGCGCAAGGAAACACACCCGACAGCTTCAGCCACACAATAAAATCTATCTAGCACATTTTTATCCCACCCTCCCTCCAGGGAGCTCAGAGCAGGACAGGTGGTTTAATCCATTTGATTATAAGCTACGAGCGTGTGACGGCCCCCAAGGTCTCCCAGCAAGTTTCATAGCAATACAGGGAACAGAACTTGGATCTCTTTACGAGCTCTGAGCCGTTCTTCTCTTATCCTCACAATGACCCCGAGAGGTAGGCTAACCGGAAACGAGTGACTGGCCCAAGGTCACCTAGTCAGCCTTCTAGCAGAGTCGGGATTTGGACGACGAGTCTTCCAGTCCTGGATCCCCATTCTGACCAAGCCCGAAGAGGCATCACCATCCTGACTCAGGGCCCTTTGGGAGGGGGGGGTAGGCGCAACCCGCCCCTCCTTCGCCCCTTTCTGTGGGCCCGACCCACCCGGAAGTTCTCCGCACTGCCATGAGATGGAGCTACACCGCCTGCCTCTTCCTGGTAGCCGACAGAACTTGCCGGGGGGGTGGCTCGGCCCTTTCCCTCGGGTCAGAGACCCCGCCCTGCCCCGCGCCAAGGAGGACGGCCTCGGTCCTTCCTTCGAGCTTCAAGGCAAAGGGCCCCTTCCTTCGAGCTCAGCGAGCTGCCGCTTCCAGGGGCAAACTCCACCAACGAAGCCGCCCGACTCACCCACGTCCTGCTCGAAGGGGTTGGCGGCGAAGAGCGGCATGGCGACGGGAATGGAGGCGGCGGCGGCAGCAGCAGCAACAACCCTCCGCGGCTTCGTCCCGGGCTTGCTCCGCTCCCGCGGCTGTCGCTGTCCCGGGCGAGGAGACGACTCAGTACGCAGCAAAACCTTGGCTCGGCCCCGCCCCTCCCTCTCTGGGTCTCTCTCGCTTTTCCGCTTCACTTCCTTTTCCGTCTGCCAACGTCACCGGGCAAGGACCCTTCTCCGTCCTTTCAGTCGGCCTGACGGAAGCCGAGGCCCAGTTACCTAGTCGAATTCCTCCCAAGAACGAACACCGGCCTTTCTAACTAGTCGCCGCGTGTCCAGGCGGTGTCGTCTGCGGGCATCAAACTACCACAGAGTTATCTGGCAATATGGAAAGTCACCTTCGTCGGAGGTCCCGGAGGGGTGGGGTGGAGGCGGACGTAGAGTTCAGAGACGATAGGGGAGTATAGAGTCACGCACTCTCGCCAGCCACTTAGCCCTTCAGAACTAAAATGGACTGCCGTTCCACTCTGACTTCCAACGTTAAGTATATGGAAATGGGACATCGAGGTGTTCAGAAGTAGAGCGACGCCAGTCTACTACCTCCGTAAAGACCGTGGTCACTAACAGTGTTCAGTGTACCGGAAGTGTATACAGTATGTCAAACTTCTACCTCTATGGAAGAGGACTGAGCCGAGCGGGATCCTAGTGGGCATGCGTCGTTACCCTTCTCTCCACAATGTTCTACCTGGGCGTGGAAGGCTCCGTAAAAGATGTTTGTCAGAAGGGAAAGGAGAGGAAAGGCGCAGTGTTCCCTCTAAGCTGAGATAGTGTGATTAGCAGCGCTACTAGCGGCGGCGGGGTGTGTGGAATTTGGCCCTAGGATTCCAAGGCCAAAGAGGCGGATTCCAAGGCCAAAGAGGCTCAGAGAGGCGGGGGAACATTTCACGCCCCTCCCCCGTTGCCGCTGCCATTAGCGCTGCTGCCGCCGCCTTGGACAGCCATAACTTTTTAGAGGGCGTTGCAAGAGGTGGAATTTGCCCCTAGGAGTCCAAGGCTACCACCCCGGGGCTCAGAGAGGCGGGGGAACATTTCGTGCCCCTTCCCCCCTCCCATTGCCGCTGCCATTAGTGCTGCAGACCGGGGGTGCCAGAATGACCTCTCCACACGGGAGAGGTGGAATTTGCCCCATCACACTAACTCAGCCGTGGCACTGTGATTTCTGTGGTGCAGGCTGTGGCCATGGACATGATATGGGATTTCATGGTATGTTTGTGGTGTCCCAACAGAAAAAACCCAAGCATCCATGAGGGTCCGTGCTTTAGAATCATGTTTTTGCAGAATGGTGTCACCAGGAAGCTGTGGATCTGTGATTTTTGTGGTGCAAGCTGTGGACGTGGACTTGTTATGTGATTTGATGGTGTGTTTGGAGTGACCCAATTGAAAAACCCTGAGGATCCATGAGGATCCGTGCTTTGGAACCATGTTTTTGCAGTTTTGTGGTGCCATGAATTCGTGGGGGCATGATTTTTGGAGTACTGCCTATAGTCTAAGACACGGTCTGCAGTAAGATGGTGGTTTTATTTTGTTTCTGTATAAATTCATGAGGATCCGTGCTTTGGAATAATGTGTTTGCTCTGTTGTGCCACGAATCTGTGGATGCGTGATTTTTGTGGTGCCCCCTATAGATTAACACATGGCCTACAATATGATGGTAGTTTTATTTCGTTTCAATGTAAAAATCATATGAATTCATGAGGATCCATGTAGATCCAACTTTTACCTTTTTCCCTCGGGCACCACTTTAATGCCAGTAACTCACAAAGTAGGATTTTTGCTCACAAGACTCCATAGCTTAGAGGGAACATTGGTTGTGGGTGACTAGAGCCCACTAGTCATGATACATGCACACTCAGAAGGTTTCCCTTGCTCGAAAGCCAGTCGAATCCGACTCTAGGGGGTCTGTTTCCATCTCCGTTTCCAAGCTGAAGAGCCAACAGTGTCTGAAGATGTTTCTGTGGTCATCATGACTAAACACCAAGGCGCACAGAACGCTGTTACCTTCCCACCGAAGTGGTGCCTATTTAGCTACTTGCAGTTTCTTGCTTTCAAACTGCTAGGTTGGCTGAAGCTGGGGCCAGAGACGGGAGCTCACTCCATCAGGCGGCACTAGGGTCTCGAGCTGCTGAACTACAGACCTTCCGGTCTGCAGCTCAGCGTCTTAACCTCTGAGCCCCCTTGGCCACTCAGAAGCAGGGGTGTACACCACGCAGGGGGTCAAGGTCGGGGTTGCCAGCCTCCAGGTGGGGCCTGGGGATCTCCCGCTTTTACAACTGATCCCCAGCTGACAGAGATCAGCTCCCCTGGAGAAAATGCCTGCTTTGAAGGGTGGACTCGATGGCATTGTACCCTGCTGAGGCCCCTCCCCTCCTCAAACCCCGCCCTCTCCCGGCTCCACCCCCAAAGTCTCCAGGTATTTTCCAACCCAGACCTGGCAACCCTAGTCAAGGTTCCCCCCTCCGGAATTTTCCAGGGGGGAGTTCACTACCCACTCCTGGCTGCCAGGGAGTAGGACCACACCTCCACTGCCTTTCCTTATTTTTCCTTGGGAACTTTGGAAGTTCTGCCTAAAGCCCCTACTTTCAACCTGTGGATCATCAAAACACACAATGAACTGGAAGTTTAAGGTCGTTTTGGTATCCTGGGACTTGGAGCATTAGAGAAGAAGAAATGGAAGACTTGGGGATAGATCTGTCTTTAGCCATGTGTATTGGGGGGCAGGGGGAGAAGAGGCCTGTGGGCTTAAATGTTGGAAGTTCAGTTGATTTTGGTATCCTGAGAATTGCAGCTTTAGATTTTAAAAAATGGAAGAAATGGGAATAGCAAACTTTGTCTGTGTGCATCTGTAAAAGTGGGGGTGGGGGGAGATAAAGCTAGTTCACCAAATATAGAAAGCGAGGGGATTCTGCTGTCCGAGACTGCACCTCAAGCAAACAAACGTTCCCATAATTTCAGTTTAGGGTATGTGAGAAGCTAGTATTTACTGTGTATTTTGAAAGATAAAAATCCTTCCTCTGCTTATGAACAGAAAATTAAAGATTTGGAAGCCCAAGTAAAAAGCTTTGAGTCTAAAACAAGAGCAGAAAAGATTGAAAAACTTAACAGAGACACCAATTATGCCCTGACTGGCCAAAGGGGGCTTATGGCCAAATGAAAGGGAAGCATTGGGACATTGACTTGATGAAGGCCTAGAACATAGAAGCAATTCCTTCTCCTCTGACCTTGGACAATTAATTGATTTTAAGGAATTCCTGACAACTGAGGAAGCAACTGTTTTTTGTGTTAGTACACCAGCTTTTAGTTATTGTTAGTCGAGTGTTGTTATTTTGTTACTTGCTATTGCTGGTATCTTCAGAATGGTTTCTGCCTAGCATACATTCTGTTAATCCTGACAGGTTTTGTTTGTCATAAATTAAAGGGATAGTTTAACTTTGTGCCTAGAGTTAAATGTTGAGTGCTTGCATTTACCTCTCAAAAATGAACCTAGGGGCCTGTCTGGTCCATATGTGAATTATTTGCCTCTGCTGTGGAGAGAAAGGGCAGACCCAGGGGAGGCCTGGCTATACTAGTTTCTACGAAACTTCAGGCCACAGTAGTAGAATTACGGCCAAATGCCCAGGACGCACATGCTGTAGCTGTACAATTCAATAGTTCCCTCTGGAGTTGATCAAAGTGGATGTTGAATGGTGGGCACCAGTCCTCACCACTCTTTTCACATACATTGACCAACCTGTACCCCAAATTGGGGTCTGGCCATCATCATCCTGATATATCCTGATATAGTAAAAAGAGGTGAAATCAAACCCTTTTAATTACTGCCCAGTCAGCCTGCTTAGTATGGTGGGTAAGTTCAACACCAGACACCTATGCTGAAAATTTTGGGACTGGCTCAATAAGGAGAACTTAGCTGTGGAACAAGCAGGTTTTAGAAGCAGTCGCTCCACAATGGACCACTGTTTGATTATGTGCCATCTGGTGGAGAAATATACTGCCAGGCTGCATGGGACACTTTACGCAGCCTTTGTTGATTAGAAGATGGTGTTTGATAGCATCTCACACAACAGATAATGGCTAAAATTAGAAGCTTTCGCAATAGACTGCATTTGGTGAAGCAGAACAGCGCAATGCAGGATGTCATCTCCATGACCATCCTGTATGGGCAAGAGGAGCTCAGCATCAGCTCCAGCGACTTGCTGACCCTCTCCCAAATGGTTCATGTCCTCAAGCCCTTCCAGGACGCCACTGACGTGCTCTGCACCCATATGGCCAGCCTGGGGCAAGTCATCCTCCTGATTTGAAGAAGAAGAAGAGATTGGATTTATCCCCCGCCCTTCACTTGTAGTCTCAGAGCGGCTTACCAACTCCTTTCCCTTCCCCTCCCCACAACAGACACCCCGTGAGGTGGGTGGGGCTGAGAGAGCTCTTAACAGAAACTCCTCTTTTTCAAGGACAGCTGTGCCAGAGCTTGTGGCTGACCCAAGGTCACATCAGCAGGTGCAAGTGGAGGAGTGGGGAATCAAACCCGGTTCTCCCAGATTAGAGTCCGCGCACTTAACCACTACACCAAACTGGCTGGACTGGGCTCTGGCCTCCACACTGCAGCCGGGCCCCAAGGGGACGCCTGTTCTCTCACGGGTCAGAGCCTTGGCAGAGAGGTTGCAGGTGGGCATCACCACCAGGTTGCATCCTGTCTGCAAGGAAGGGGAGTACAAGCTGGCCTGTATCTGTGACCACCGGATAAAAGGCAGCATTGCTCTCCTGAATGCCACTGAAGCGTGAGCTCTGCAAAGAAGCCTGGAGATGACAGGCCAGCTGACATGGCCAGAGGGAGCAATGGATAGAACAGGAGAAGAAGCTGCAGCCTAGCACCTCTGCCTGAAAGAGCCAACCAGGGAGAAGCCCCACTACTGGTTGTCAGTGGTGAACTGGGAGGTCAGCAGTAGTGGAGATGCCAGGCATACAGTGGCGGTGGATTAAGCAGAGGTGATGGTAATGGGGAGTACCTTGCCGAGTCCCCTGAGCCCACTGACACCGATTCTCTGGAGTACTGGTCACACAAGACTGTCAGCTGGCCTGACCTCTCTGGTGGGGCCATGAGTCTTCTCTCTTGCCCTCCCACCAGTGTCC